ATGCTGTGATGCGTGACTGTGAGAGTCACCACATCGCGAGTGCGGCCACTGAACTTGGCGCGCCTCGACCTTCCCGTTCTCAACTTGTTCAATGTTCTCAACGTACACAACCCTGATTTTGACTTGATGCTGGATGCTGGACGCGTGATCTGTTGTCACTCGAAACCCATGGAAAGGCATAGGACGTAACCTACTGGTAAGTTCTAGCCAGACCTGGTCCAGTATGGACAGAAGAGGGAGGTGCGGGAGCATGGAGGGATCGTCCTGGCAGTCTGCAGAGGGTCGGTGGGATGACAATGAGCCTGAGACGAGAATATGTACGTACATTGACCCTAGTGCCGTGTATGCAACGCTCTGTCTTGGCCCCAGTCGCACACCATTCAATGAAATCCCACGAACGCGAACGCACCGCAGAGAATCGGACGTCGAAGGGGCAATTCCGTGTGGACATGGTCTCACATGGATGATGCGGAACCTCGGCGGTGCTCAGACGATATGGACAGACGTGCGCTCCGAGTCTCTGCCGCTCTTATGCCACATGGATGGTCTTGAGTATGCTCCGTCCTACTCCCTGGTCAAGTCAGTGTTGGCAAGCGTGGGGACCGTAGGCGACAGTCCTGCAACGAACGCTCTCCCGACGGTGTTCGGGTACTTGCGCAGCGATAAGCAAACGACCCAGAAGACATAGGTAGGTTCGTCCTCCGCTCGTGATGGTATTACGCTTGAAGGGAATTGCATACTTGGCAGGTACTGCAGGATTCAGAGGCGTCATCAAGCAATGAAGTTGCAGAAGGTCAGGATGAAGATGCAAGACAAAAGTGAAAGGGCAACGCGCTTGCAAATCGTACCTGGCGTGAACAAGCGGCCTGATAGACCACTCAAACCCGATCTTAGTGCTAACAGGGGCTAAAGATACCGCAGGATGGTTCACAGCGGCGTGAGACCACGGCGCTATCATTAGGACACTAGAAGCAGGTGCTCTCATCCAGAGTATTGTACTATGTCCCTCCCAAACGCCTTGTATACTAACTTCGACCGCTCTTGGTGGCACCCAAGCACAATACCCCGTGAACGATGAATCAGCCCCATTCCCAAGTTCGCCGTGGAAGCCACGTCCGTGCTGACAGTCCTTGTGGTGAACTCGGACGTGTTGCACCGAGCGAGCAAGTCTTTTACGCAAGGTGGCGTGCTCACCCACTAATCCCCGACATCCACTGACATCCCGATGAACTCTCCAGCATTGCCTCTTGTCAATGCCGAGTTCGCTGAATAGCGAGCTGCCGATACAATTGCACCGAAGCCCTTCTGGCGGACTGCGCCGCGAATAGAAGAAGAGAGTCGCTGCATGATACACGTACAACTGGTACAACCGATAGCTACCTAGCAGCCACCTGAGCTAGCTCTCGCGCTCGCACGTGAGATCGTCGACAACAAATGGCGGCATCTCACAGCGCGCCCCTTGCGGCATGACACCGTGGTCGTCTGTTCCTGCGAGTCTATAAAGGTCGGGCACCCATGGCGATGGACCTCAGAGCAGCAGCACCATGATCCCTCCCAAGCCCGAGAACAAGTTCGCGAAGTAGGTCTCACGGTCATTCAGTCTGCCTTCTTGTTCCTGACTGATCTGGGTCAGGGAACCAGAGTTCGACACCATTCAGCTCCATGCTGGATACGAACCCGATTCCGAGACCCATGCCCGTGCGCCGCCCATCTATGCGAGTACGAGCTACGTCTTCAACAACTCGAAGGTTAGCTAGTAGACCCTCTAGTACTACGGGGAGAGACTGATCCATCTGGTGTTTCCACCAGCATGGAGCGGATCTCTTCGGTCTCAGGTACGTTATCCACGCAAACCTTATGTCAGCCCGCTCATGCTCCTCCCAGGACTACAGGAAACATATACTCACGCATGGGCAATCCAACTGTCGTACGTCGATTAGCTCTCACTGGTCGTCGTCAGATGGCTGAAGTCCTCCGCAGCATGTCTTCGAGCGGAGAATGGCAGCGCTGGAGGGCGGTGTAGCTGCAGTCGCCACCTCAAGCGGACATGCTGCCCAGTTCATGGCCATCGCCGCCATCGCACGGGCAGGCGACAACATCGTTTCATCGTGAGCATGCGCTTCCCTACCCAAAGGTCACCTTGCTCATACTCTCTCAGATCGTATCTTTACGGCGGGGTGAGTGAGGACAGCATCAATGTCTGCAGTCTCTACATGTGTGTTGACGGGTCACCTTTGAAAGACCTACAACCAATTCAAGGGTGAGCCAGCCTTCTCCGAGCGTGACCCATCTAACCGCGGCTTCCAGTCTTCATGAAGAAGTTTGATATCACCATGAAGCTCATACAGAGCGAGGACCCGGCCGACTTCGCCGCCGCGATCGACGAGAAGACCAAGGGCATCTATGTCGAGAGCATCGGCAACCCCCGAAACACGGTTGCTCCCCTGCCTGAGCTCGCTAAGGCATGTATCGCAACCACCTGAACTTAAATTTAGCATCGGACTAACTTTTTGTAGGTCGCGCATGACAACGGGATCCCGCTCCTGGTGGACAACACCTTTGGCATGGGAGGTAGGGCGTATCACTCGTGAAACTTGGGCACATCGGCTGACATACCTGCCCCCAGGCTTCCTCGTCCGCCCAATCGATCTGGGTGCAGACATCGTCACCCATAGCGCGACCAAATGGATCGGCGGACACGGAACCGTCCTCGGGGGTGTCGTCATCGACGGAGGTGCGTCCTCCCCCTTCCGTCTACCTTCACCTGTCCGTCCAACCCCTGACCTGACCCACCCTCTTCCGTCCAGGCAAGTTCGACTGGGCCGCCTCGGGCAAGTTCCCCGAGTTCACCGAGCCCGCGGAGGGCTACCACGGGATGCGCTTCGTCGAGCGGTTCGGGGACGCCGTCTTCGCCGTCAAGTGCCGGCTGGACGTGATGCGCGACCTCGGGCCGGCGATGGACCCCTTCCCCGCGTTCCTGCTCCTCATGGGCATCGAGACGCTCAGCCTGCGCGGGCAGCGCCACTCGGACAACGCGCTCGCGCTCGCGCAGTGGCTCGACACGCACCCCAAGGTCGCGTGGGTGTCGTACCTCGGGCTCGCGAGTCACCCGAGCCATAAGCTCGCGCTGCGCTTGTTGAAGCCGCAGACGTATGGCGGGATGCTCAACTTTGGGATCAAGGGCGATGCGGCTGTTGGGAGCGCGGTTGTGGACGCGCTGAAGCTCGCGAGCAACCTGGCGAACGTCGGTGCGTGTCCTGTGCTTGGTCATCGATTATGAGTGGTTGGGGTGCTGACGCACGTACAGGTGATGCGAAGACTCTCGTCATCCACCCCGCGACGACGACACACCAGCAGCTGTCCCCGGAGGAGCAGATCCAGTCCGGTGTGACCCCAGACCTCATTCGGGTGCGTTTCGCGTCGTGCTTTCAATCACATTCATGTTCTGTCACGGCGTGCTTATGTCTCATACAGGTCTCGGTCGGCATCGAGGCTATCTCGGACATCATTGCGGACTTCGAGCAGGCTCTGAAGGTTGTTCCGTAACTGGGATGAGAGTGACAGAGCGCGGACGGGAAGAATTGTGAAGCCACGTGTATGTACAGTGCGTCGGGCACGTTGTAAGGTATACTATTGAACGATTGTGGGCCACCGGTTGGCGCTGTATCCTGTGCGAATGCCTCTGTTCCTATGCACACTGAAGTCACCGGCCACGAGTACAGCCTCGGGGGTGAGAGTAGAGGACGCTATCCAAGCTGTGTGTTTTGCAAGTACATTAACAGCGTGGCTATGCGCGCCCCGTATTTTTTGGGCTCGCGCCTCAAGCTCGAGTCTACCGACGTCACCACTGGCAGGTATGGTCACTTCGTCATGACCGCTTGCCACAAATGAACAGGGCCAAGCTGTCCCTGAGGCCGTCCACGTCGCACCCGTCGTAGCCGATCTCGTACATTGCAGCAACCCGCCGAACTTCAGCCACTGGAATAATCGTGCCGTCAGCCCCAACCTGAGATATCAGAGATAGTACTACTGGGACACACCAGTCATCTTCCTGAGCTGCCAGAGGTCCGACGGGAAATTGACCTCTGCCACGGGGAACGGGTCGCCATTCAGGAGCGGCAGCGCCTTCCACATCGACGAGACGTTGTTGTACGCGCGCAGCTCGCTGGCAGACGACTTTGCGATCAGCGTCCCGCCCGCACACTCTACTTAGGAAGACTCGCAGACGTACCTCCGAATTGTCGACGCAGTCAACGCACGCTGCTGCTCCAGCAGCGCCGCCTGGTGCGCCACGGCGGCCCTCTGGGCATCCACGAGGGCGGCGCGGTGCGCGTTCGCGAGCTTCTCCTGCTCGACGATCGCGGCTTGGTGACCCTCCGTCGCCCGGAGGACGCGCACGAGGTCTCCGAGGAGCGTCACCTCGACGAGGGTCACTTCCGAGACTCCTGGAATTCCGGATCCGAGGCCTTGGTCATCATCGCCTGGTGGTGCCGTTTCTGAGCCTGAGGGAGTGGTTGCATGGTCTGCTGCTTCGTCCATCATTGCGGGGCGAGGATGCCTAGCAGTAGTGGTACTCTCGGGTGCCCTGACACCAAACGCGGAGCTTGCGACCATATTGTGCTGGAGCGGTTGATCGGGATCGTCCCCGGCCAGCCAGTGAGGCTCTTGAGGATGCGGTCTGGACTGTTGACGTTCACGTAGAGACGGTGGATGGGATGGTGGGGGATTGGCGCACCGCGGACTGAATCACCTATATTATACGTTCGACTATGATCGTTAGCATGATAGAAAGCTGTGCGGCCCCTGTGGGCTAAGAGACACCGCAATATATTGAATTATGGCACCGGACGACATGCCTGTCATGTCATGATTGCTAGTCACCTCTCATGATCTGGATGTCGCACTTGTGTCTGCAGGTAAGGACAAGGAAAGCTGGGAGCTACCATTCAGAACGAGCCTTGCAATGTCTGCGTAAAAACAGTGTTTTCACCCTCCCTTAGTGCTCGGAGTGAGGATCGAACTCACGACCTCAGGATTACCCGTCGATGACGGTCATACACGGTGTATGAGACCTGCGCTCTAACCAACTGAGCCATCCAAGCTAACACTTACTAAACCACATAGCGTACATGACTATTGGCAGAAACCTGGACTTCGCGCGACGGTACCAGTACTATGTAGTACCACGTCCAGGGTGCATCCATTGCCAAGATCTGGCAGTCGTTTGAGCATTGCAACAGACCAGATTTTCTGTCCAGCCTCAGTACTCGGGGTTGGGCTTGAATACCCCGTCACCATGGTGGGGAATACGACGACGACTCATGGCTAGCGCTCCCCATGCGACTGTGTAGAAGGAGGGTAGCTGCGAGCTGGTGGGGAACCCCAGCTCGTGTCAGTGATACACGCAAGATGGCACGAAAATGGCATGTCCCCACAACTCAACTACGGGCGCGTGTCACGCAGTCTGACACAGGCCTGACATAAGTCTCGGAAGGCTGGCCAGGATCTGAGCGCTGCACGGATTGGGGTTATTGGGCGAGCGATAAGGTGAGCACAGGCGCAGACCGAGAGAGATAAGAGCGATACGCATGCGCTGCAGCAGCTCCGAGCTCAGCCTCAACCGTGACGAGCTCAATGGGGCCAATCCGCAGCGCAACATGGGCGCTTTGCGAGCGGGACAGGGCGTGGGAGCGTTGTGAAGGGACGTGAAGGGCGAATGCGGAGCCATTTCGGGCGTTTGTGTCGCCAAATATGGGCGACCACCGTCGCGTGGGGCCGCGCACTGGCCAGACAGATAAGAGGGGGCGGACAGGTCAGGTCGCCCTTCCTCCCTACCATCACCTCCCCCTCTTCATCGTCGGGGAGCTCCTTCTACTACTACAACCCCCTCATCCACTTCCAGTCCGCTCCCTCTTTCAGCATGCGTCGTTTGTTCGTCGCCGCTGTCGCCGCCGCCGGTCTCGCTGGCGTCCTTGCTCATGACTCGCATCCCATCTCTCGTCGCAAGACCCTAAGCTTCGGCCCTGTACTCCCTCACGCTTCCTACCACACCAACCCTGTCTACCAGGCCAGCCTCCTCCGGTCCAGCCAGGATCCATTTGAGGTCGCACGGCTCTTTGTCGACGAGCTCGTTCGCGACATCCCCGGTGGCGCTTTCGAGGTCCGCAAGGACTCGTACACCGACGCCGCCACTGGTGTCACCCACGTCTACATCCGTCAGTACATGAACGGCATCGAAGTTGCTGATGGTGACATCAACGTGAACGTCAAGGACGGCGTCGTCCTCTCGTACGGTGACTCCTTCTACCGTCCCAAGGATGCGCAGCCCTTCATCGCCCAGGCCGGTGACGTCAACCCACACGCTGAGTACTGCCAGTCCCTCCAGGAGGAGATCACCGAGCAGCTTCGTCACGTCGACCACTCTACCCACGAGAACGACGAGCGTCGCAAGTCGCTGGCTCAGCTCGGCTATCTCCACGACTGGAATTGCCAGTTCGTCGACGCGCCCGACTTTATGTCCCAGCACCCTCACTTCTCTGCCGATGAGGATCATGCGTCCGCAGACGTTACTCGCGCTCTCCTCCAGTTCATGCTTGCAGCCACTCCCAAGGAGTCTCTTAGTGCAGAGATTATGGAGAACCCAGGCAAGTTCCTCCCTGACATGCACGTCACTTTCGAACACCACCTCGCTGGAGATCACCCCCCGTCGTTCACTGTCGAGAACGTGCCCGATGCAGTCAACCCTGTCAAGGGTCGTCTTGCGTTCGTCCAAGTTCCTCAGGGTGACGCCACTAGCCTGCAGCTCGTGTGGAAGGTATGTCTTTGCTGTAGCTTCCTGTTCCGTACGATGATTGACGTATGTTCAGTTCGAGGTCGAGATGCAAGATAACTGGTATGAGGCAGCCGTATCCGCTGAGGCGCCGCATCGTATCGTCTCCGTTGTCGACTGGGCGTCCGACTCGCCCATGCCCATGGCTCCGATTCCGCGCGAGCCTGAAGGCGCCACGTACAATGTCTTCGGATGGGGTATCAACGACCCTTCGGTTGGGGAGCGCTCCATCCAGAAGGAGAACTTCGACTCGCTTGCATCCCCTCTTGGTTGGCACGCTCTCCCTTACGCGAATGATCCCCAGTCCCAGGGTATTCGTCTGGCCAAGGGCGCGTCGAAGATTCGCAACACGACCACAACCTGGGGTAACAACGTCTTCGCTCATGAAGACTGGGAGGGTCAGAACCGTTGGGTCAACAACTACCGTCCTGACGGTGGTGAGAGCAAGGTGTTCGACTACAAGTACTCGCCGAAGGAGACCGCTACGGACGAGGCGCTCGAGGAAGCGAAGAAGTACATCAACGCGACCGTGACGCAGCTCTTCTACACCTCGAACATGGTCCATGACTTGTACTACCGGTACGGCTTCACTGAGGTGGCTGGCAACTTCCAACAGCACAACTTCGGCCGTGGTGGTCAGGAGAACGATGCTGTCATCGCGAACGCGCAGGACGGCAGCGGATACAACAACGCCAACTTCATGACTCCCCCCGATGGTCAGAACGGCCGTTGCCGGATGTACCTGTGGAACACTGCCAACCCCTACCGTGACGGTGATCTCGAGGCTGGCATCGTCATTCACGAGCTGAGCCACGGATTGAGCACTCGTCTCACTGGTGGGCCGGCGAACTCCGGGTGCCTCGGCTGGGGCGAATCCGGAGGTATGGGCGAAGGTTGGGGTGGTATGTATCATCCCGTCTTTTCATGCCTCATCTGGGTGCTCATTTCATTGCGATTGTAGACTTCTTGGCTACGACTATCCGCAGCAACAAGAACTACTCCGACTACGCCATGGGTTCGTGGGCTGCGAACATGGAGAAGGGTATTCGTAACTACCCGTACTCCTTGGTACGCATTTACTCAGTATTGCCGTCTTACCCTTCGCTCACGTTTTCCTCCAGGACGAGGCCATCAACCCGTCAACCTACAAGACCTTGGATAAGCCCGGGTACTGGGGTGTGCACGCGATCGGCGAAGTCTGGGCACAGTTGCTCTGGGTCGTCTCCCAGAAGCTGATCGAGAAGCACGGCTTCACCGAAGACCTCTTCCCGCCCAAGCCGCTCGAGGACGGTACCATCCCTGAAGGCGACTTCTACCGCGCGCAGGAGTACACGGCGGACGGCCAACCGAAGCCGCTCGTGCCCAAGCACGGCAACTCGCTCATCGTCCAGCTGGTGCTCGACGGCATGAAGCTGCAGCCCTGCCGCCCCTCGTTCTTCGACGCGCGCGACGCGATCATCGCCGCGGACAAGACGCTCACCGGCGGTGAGAACTTTTGCGATATCTGGGAGGCGTTTGCGTCCCGTGGTCTCGGTGTCGACTCCAAGGTCGAGGGCCGCACGCCGTGGGGTGGAGGAATCCGCACGAACGTGAGTAGTGATGTTGTTGCCAGCGCGGACGAATTGCTGACGATCACTCAACAGGGCCACCGTCTGCCTACGGAGTGCTCGAGCGACGTGCCTCCTCCTGAGGAGCCCGCTCCTGGTGACGGCGACGATGACGACGATGATGACGATGACGACGACTGGCCATGGGTCGCCTGGATCATCCAGAAGTCGGCCGCGTACCCGTGGTCCTGGCTCTGGTGAGCGCGTGCTTGCGGCCCACCGTTCCTCCGCTTCGTGCGCTTGGATATCCTCCAGCGAACGGCTGTCCGTCGGCGGAGAGGCGGTGGGTCCAGGACCCTCTGGCGTTTGCCGTGGATGAGTGAGTTCGCTCGTTGGGTTGTACTACTAGACGCTCCTTCTTGATGGATGTACTACTACTATCCGGGATATACACGACATTTTAATCGCATTTGGTACGCTTCGTTGTGGTGGATATCTGGTTCCGGTGGTTGATCGTGGAGGACCATGACGACACTCTGACAGCATGGCTGGCTCATGCATCAAGCAGCAGTATCATGGTCCACTTGAGCGTGACGCGTGGGTCGGTGGTAGGAGGAAGGTGATGGGAGTTGTGGCGTTGCCGTAAGCATCACCTCCAACTTAGCGCTAGCGCTGACACGTTCCTTCCAGTCAACTCATCAGCAAATCCTGCTTTCACGCTAGCATCTGAGGGCCTGGTCGGCTGCACTGGATTTCGAAATCCAGCTGGATTTGGATCTACTCCGAGATCCCCGCAAAAGAGCAAATCCAGGCGCCCAGAGCCCAAGCAAGCCAGTCACAGCCAGTCACATTATGTAACATAGCACTTCCTCACGTGCATGCTTGTTTGGCGGCGTTCAGATTCACATCTCTGCTTACTTTTCTTACTCTCCCTTCACAATACCTTGTACGTGGCGTCTTCAGTTGTTGTATTTCATGGCTATTTACACAAATAATCACACCTTGTCAGTTGTGTGCCGGAACAGTAGGAGCAGGCTGCATTACGACTAAGTACGACTACTTGCTTGTATAAGCCTTACCATATTAGGTGTGCGCTAGCGCCGTGCGCACATTTTATGTAATATGGACTCAAGTACGGGCTACACGGGAGTTGTGAGCAGGTGCAGAAGGTGCACATAGAGTGCTGATTGGTGTCTGTTAAGCGGTCTCTGGAGACTGAGACTCTGAGAGGGGCCAGTACTCATAATGAGTAAGTAGTTATCATAGCTATAGATATGAAGAGGCAAAGGGAGAATAAGTAGCGGAAGCGCCCCGCACAGGCGCTACTTGGCGTGACAGCCCTCCCAGAACTCTGCCCAACAGATCCTGTGTCTGCCGAACGATTTTTTGGATTTGGATTTGGCAAATCCAGCGCCTATGCCCATCATGATCCAGGTCCAGCAATTTGGCGGGGCAGGATTTCGAAATCCAGTGCAGCCGACCAGGCCGAAGGATCCTCGCTGGCCCTCGATAAACAAGTACTGCACTCGAGGGTCATAGATGGTTGAGTTTAAGACTTATCATGAGAACGGTTGCGCACTCAAGCTAGCTCCGAAGTTATTGGCATGGTTCTTCCATCATGCACGGCGTACGCTGTCATGTGTGGTCAATTGAAGGTGTGACCGTGTCTCCGCGTCATCGCCGCTTCCCTTCCTGACACGTTCGGGGAAGGTGGCTGCGCCGTCGG